GAACTGATCTTCTTACCTCTACCTTCCAAGTGCAAGGTTACAGGTCACCACCATGCTCAGTTTATGCAGTGCTGGGGACTGAACCCAAGGCTTCATACATGCTAAGCAAGTACTCTACTAGCTGAGCTACATCTGCAGCCCCTGGCCTGCCATTTCTTATTGTGTGTAGAAAAAGCAAGAAACCAATACCGCAACCCTGGCATGATTAATAAATGAGAGTTTTAAGATTCATTAGACAACTGAAGATTAGAATAAGTCTAAGTGAATTCTTCTGGGGAGAAGAGAAACCTAGATCTGTTTTCACTTCTGCCAGAGGAACCACAGGAAGGATTCGCAGCAGGAAGGATAAAATAAAACCAGCCAGCCTTTTTGAAAATCATCAGTGGCAGTATGGTTTGGCAAAGCAGATAAGCATCCCCAGAAAGCCAGTCTTAGAGTTGGTATGCACTCCTACACTAGGCCTTTCCCATAGGCCTTAACCTTCCCTTTAGTAACATATAGAAGACTAGAAACAGGGCAGGAGACCTGACAAAACCCATTGGAAATTCTGCATATGAAGGCACCAGATCTTTTGTCTGAGAAGGAGACCCTGATTCTAAAAATGTTTCCTCCAACAAGAAATCCTGATGGATGCAATACTTTTAATATCAATGAGGAAATGACTTCTAGTATTTAATAATGTGATTGATATTAAAATAAATCCTTATTTCTGCTTAATGCAAATTGCAGTTTCAAAAATGCTTTGATCCTGAACAAGCTTTAGTTGGAATAAATAATGTTTACCTGCTGGTTCTTTTTGAAAAGTATTTTAGTGACATTTAAAGACTTAGGGCTACTTCCATGGATTAGGGATCCCTTTCCTTGTGGAAATTTTTGGATTTCCTTCTTCAGCAGGAAATGGGAAGGATTTAGTTAAATTTGCATGTCTTCTGGTACATCTTGAAATTACAGACTTTGCACCTAGGACTTTTGAAATTGGGAACTATTTATGGTCTTTCTTCCTCCTCTTTCATGGCTTCTTTATTAGTGCATAGACCTGCAGGGTTTCCATCAGTACATTGCTTCCACATGTATGCAGGATAGAATGTGAGGTCCCCATCCTGCAAGTATTTGCAAGGTGCTACCTTGAGCCATGACACACAATTGGTGAATTAGAATCACATAGACAGAATGTCAACTTTTGTTTTCCGTGGGTTTTGAGGTGTCATGGGATGGGTATTTAGGGTACCCCATTCAGTGAGAATATGGATGTCCCGTAATCACCCAGGGCACCTTCCTCGTGCATACACCATTGTTTACCCAATTTCTTTATGTCCTGCTTTTGTGTTTTGAAGTTAAGGGCGCTGAGAGGTATCAGCAGCCACTATTCCACAGCCCAGTTCATGAGCAAAGAATGGAATCAGAATCTTTTTAAAATCTTGTTTTCATGGACTTTGTTTTGAGTGGTGGTGATTTTTCAGTATTACTTTGCATATTAACACTCTGAATCTCAAGGGGAAGGTTACAGCTGAGATGTCCTTTTGTACTTGCTCTCTGTGGTATGTGCCAAGCAATCATCCTGGGGGTGTGGGTATTAGTGGTGAAACGGGGAGAAAGGGTCCCTAGAAGTGTCTTAGTTTCATTCATAAAGAAATTTAAGAATGGACCCAAATGGAAGCTTTTACAATTTTATTAGAATCTTAAAGAAAATTGCTCAGGGTAGGTGAGCTGGTAATCTTGGCAGCTGCCTTGAGGAGGTGAATGGTGGGAAGAAGGAAAGAAAGCCATGAAGCCATGCAGGTTTAGAGCCTGCATGGAGGTCAGACATGTGGCTGACTGGCAGACATGTGGCTGGGAGAAGGAAGCTTTAGAGAAAGTAAAGAACTACAAGGTGCTAGGGGCAGCCCAAAGCCTTAAAGAAAGCATGGTTAGTAAGAAAGGCATGAAGAAGAAAAGGGAAAATTTTGCCTTTCTGGAGGAAATAAAGGCGGACAGACTTACGGAGACCTACATGACTGTGGCTGGTCCAGAAGTTCTGCTGAGTTCTGCACTACAAGGCGGGACTCCAGGCAGGAAAGATTTGGTACCTCATTAACACACCAGGTATTCCGCCCATCTATTTAGCATAACCTAAGGTGAACCTGCCTTCCTAGGAGTGGTTCTATCACCAGGTGATTGACCAGTGAGACTGGAAAGGTGGGTCCTCCAACAGATAGACTAGGGATTTTATAGTCTTGACCAGTTAAACTTATGGGGTTTTTTGCTCCTCTAATAGTGGGAGGCCAGACAGTGGGAGGCCAGATTATGTATCCATCCAGGCATCTGGGAAATACCTTGTTTTTTAACATCTCCCTGGGAATATTTGAACAAGATAGCTAAGTGGCCTACATGGAGAAAAACGAATTCTCCCAAGTTGTTTTCTGGAGTTTCCCCACCATACGGATGCAGGTAGTGAAAGCAGCAGGCAGACTCTGACACAAAGCAAACGTACACCCGTGTGTCTCTTTGGGACATGCAGGATACTCACTGGGGTGGAAATTGCTCATCAGGCTGCTGCAGTGGGTTACACGAAAGCCTGTACTTGATCCCTTTGTACCTCGGATGCAAGTTTCCTGCTTTCCTTTTACTAAGCCTATAAATAGGCCTAAATAACTATTTTAGATGTAAAGATTTTTCCCTTCATTGTCATAATCAGAAACTTAAAAACTGTTTCAATAAAGGAGTAGTCAGCAGATTGAGCCAATAAAACTGATACTTTCCACTTTCTTCAGGAAAAGTAAAATCAAAGCACCATAGAAACCACATTGCCCAGGCACAGCATCTACCTTACTGATAAAAACGTTGCCAAGATCCACAGGCCGTGGTCCGTCATCTATTTCTCTTTCTTCTGTTGCTCTGTGGATATGTTGACATCTTTTCAAATTTTTTTCACCTTTAACAGTACAGTGATTAATTTTAATGGTTTCCATATTTGACATTGTTTTGATTTTCTCTTTACTTTGTTCCCTGCTTTCTGCACTCTCTTCCCCAACCCCC